GGCGCGCGGGGCCGGGTGGCCGTTAGCGGCCGTTACCGGCGGTGGGCTGGGGCTGTGGGGAACGACTAGGCCAGGGCGGTGGGAAGGCCGGGGCCCGCCGTGCCATAATCCAGCAGCGGGGTACGGCACTCTTAATGTTAAAGAAAAAAAAAAAATATTTTTTTAAATTATTTTCTTTCTTTTTTTTTTTTTTTTTTTAATGCCTTTTTTTCCGACCTTAAGTTTGCTTGACTTCATTTTGTCCAGTTTTGGGCCCCCTACCATATAAAAGACATTGAGGTGCTGGAGCGGGTCCAGAGAAGGGCAATGAAGCTGGTGAGGGGACTGGAGCACAAGTCTTATGAGGAGAGGCTGAGGGAGCTGGGGTTATTCAGCCTGGAGAAGAGGAGGCTGAGGGGAGACCTTATTGCTCTCTACAACTGCCTGCCAGGATGGGGTAGAGAAGTGGGTATCAGTCTCTTTTCTCAAGTCACAGGCGACAGGATGAGAGGAAATGGCCTCAAGTTGCACCAGGGGAGGTTCAGGCTGGATATTAGGAAAAATTTTTTCACTGAAAGGGTTATCAGCCATTGGAATGGGCTGCCCAGGGAGGGGGTTGAGGCACCATCCCTGGAGGTGTTCAAAAGACGGGTTGATGAAGTGCTGGGAGGTATGGTTTAGTGATGATGCTCCTTGTTTGTTGTGTGGGTGTCTATTTTTGTCAGTTAGGTTGACGGTTGGACAAGGTGATCTTTAAGGTCCCTTCCAACCTAGAAGATTCTGTGATTCTGTGATTTTGAGACACAAGGCCGTATCCAGTTGCTAGCGTGGCTCCCCAGGAATCTCTCTCTCTATACGTGTGTATGTATATATACTCCTCAGCTAAGCACAGGTGAGCTCTCCACAATCCCGACTTCAGCCTGGAGGAGCGGCTCTGCAAACCTTGAGGCCGTTCAAACATTGTCGCACCACAGACTCAAAAACCTGCTTGTCAGGGCTAAATCACATATATGTTCCTAGGTAGCAAATTTTACTGCAGAGTAAAGGTTCTTAGGAGGGAAGGGCGGCCTATAACTTTTAGCCCCCAGTTAGGATATTGCATTTGGCCATATTGACATATATAGTTATACACTCTCATAAAATACCTATCTAAGATAAGACACATACATAAATATAGAATTAGAATCATAGAATCATAGAATGGTTTGGGTTGGAAGGGACCTCAAAGCTCATCTAGTTCCAACCCCCCTGCCATGGGCAGGGACACCTCCCACTAGACCAGGTTGCTCAAAGCCTCATCCAGCCTGGCCTTGAACACCTCCTGGGATGGGGCATCCACAGCTTCTCTGGGCAACCTGTTCCAGTGTCTCACCACCCTCACAGTAAAGAATTATTTCTTCGGGCTTTTTTTTAAGGTGCACCCTGTTTACCAAGAGCTCCAAGTAACTTTGTAAGTAACTTCAGCCTCCATTGGTTCCCACCCCCCCACAATTCTTACATCATCTGCTGTTACGCCTTGGTGATAATTTGGTATAGCTTCTTCAAGATCACTGATAAGAAAGAATAGATGGATGAAACTGACCCCCAGAGGGTCTGAATCACTCAGGTGTTTGCTGATCAGCCCTCTTGTGTGTGTTGAGGCCCCCTAATTATTCAGAGTCTACTGTGTGACATATGATTTTTTTATCTTTCTATCTTTTTTCATTAAAATGGCAATTTGGTCAAATGCCAAACCAAAGCTTAAGGATGTAATATCACCGTTACTTTTATCAAATAAGCATTTTCATAATGAAGAGATACCACAATAGCATTACAAGGCCTGTTTTCTGGGAATGTCTTTTCTAAGTACTAATTATACTCAAATCTTTATTGATTTATTCCTATATGAGCCACTTGGATATTTTGCTGAGAATTACAATCAAGAAGACACATGTAATGAACCTGGATTATCCCTTTTACCTTCGTTTAATACAGTCACTATATTAACTTTCTTCTTGTTCTTTGAAAGCCCCAAGATTTATTAAGAATCATAATTAGAGATCAAAAAGAGGTTCCAAAAAGCTCTTTTAAAAGCTTGTATGCAAGTTATCGTAGCTTACTGATATAAATTGCCTAGCTTAGCTACTGCTATTTAGCTTTTCCTTTAAGTACAGTGTTAGTGGAAAGTAGTGGAAAGTAGTCTTTGTCCTGTATGAAAGAATTTACCTATTTCCCGGTATACAAAGCTACTTACTGGACATTTCTTTTAAAGCACTGTTATGAATTCTTGCATTTCTCTTTAGTAAAATAATTGTTAGAACTCATTCAACGTACATTCCATTCCCTGTTTCTTTCTGTTGGCAAGAATTTCTCAACATCAATTACAGTTTCTTTAATTCCTACATTTAATTAACAAATCTCTATTATCTTCTCCTTATCAATAGAATGCACTGTTCGGGCTATTACAATTATTTTCATTTTCCCACTACACTAGGGTTGCATTTTAACTATGTTTGGGTTTTGCCCTGGTTGCCTTTCAAGGGTTAACTCATTGAATGTTCATTAGCAACTCTAAATTTATATTTTTTGATTTGGGTCCTTTCTTTGAGGGCCTCAAAGGACTCATCATTATTTTCAGTTTTGTGAAAATCACTTTTTAAAAGTAGTAGCTAATTATATGATTGATTTGCTCACTTGTTTTTTATTACAAAAGTCATCAAATTAGGATCACTTGTAGGTTAATAAGAGTTTTGTATTTTTTTATATTTGACAGTCAGTTTTCTGACTTAGAAACTCAGGTGTTTGCACAAATTGAATTGTTTAATTTTAAACAAATATATTTTTTCATTACTAATTTCAGTTCTGATTCTTTGATGAACCTAAACTAATACACTCAGTGGGAATCAAATTAAGAATGCATATAATTGAATTTTGAGACAATTAAATTTATTTTTTTTTTACAGCAGTGCAACGCTGATAGACAAAAACAAAATATGAAGAAAAAGGATGGCAAAGAAGACACATTTCAGCACGTGCTTTCATTGGTGTTCATCCCTTCTACACAACCGAGAGCTGATGTGTTATCAGGGACCACTCGTCTTGCTAGATCTCCACATAATGTACGCTGCCATGACCTTCTGGCCTGCAGTTTAATTTACAATATGAACATGTATTTGAAAAATATTTCTGAGTCAGACATGGCTTTACCAGGGGTTCAGAAGGCCGTGACCCCAGACACCGTGTTTGGCACTGGCCGTTCATGTCATTTGGGTTGTCACTGGGCATCTCACTGGGTGTGGACTCCCCCGTTCTTCCTCCCCCCATCCCAATGCCAGGGGCATCCAGCTTGAGAGCTGAGGCCCTAAATCTTCAAAACATTCTGTTAAGAAGTAATAATGCAAAAACACAGGCTGTAGTCTATAAATAATGTTTGGCTTGCAGTGAGTTGGCCTTGTAATGCACCCTCGTTTGTTAAGCCGATATCTGGCAGAATTTCTGTTAACAGTTGCTGATGAGTCCAAGTTATCTCTACTAAATGCAATAGACTTCAAAATGTGGATAGGTTTTTTGAAGTGCTGCTAGCCCACAGGGAAGTTGAAATAAAAGGGAAAATAGCAAAGCCATGAATCTTAGACTTATTTTGTATTGTGCTAGTTACAGTTGCCATGATTTATTTCACCATGAAAGCAGGGCTTACCTCAGTGACGTCAGGAGGAAAAATTTCATGATTTATTTCACCATGGAATCAGGCTTACCTCAGTGACGTCAGGAGGAAAAATGATTGACAAACTGAGTGCAAATGTCTGTTGGGACTACAGGTCAAGCAAACAGTGAATTTATTTAACACCTGAAGTGGGAGATAGCGTGCTATTAATTATCAACAAATTTAACTTAAACATCACGAGCATGACATAAGTGTGTTTAACCATACAGCTGATTAAAGCAAGAAGATGTCGAAGTCTCAAACTAACAGACATACCAGGCTCTGAAACTTAAGATGCAGCAGATAAATCCTTGTGCTGCTGTCACAGCATCATAACAAGATGCTGCTGGGCAGATTTTTCTCTTGAAGGACGATTATGTTATTAGCATGTGCATGTTTTGAAATTGCCAGCAAGAATATGGGAGTTGTTTTCTAGAAGAAGGCTGCTGACTGTGGTATGGCCTCACCATCCAGCGGTGTCACCAGTCAGGCTTGTTTGCATTCCTGCCCGTGTCTTTCATTCCCTCCCAGTGAAAGTTTGCCACTCCCAATTATGCCACTAGAAATGTCAGGTGGAGCTGTGGCCTGAATCCCTGCAAGGATCTGACTTAAAAACAAGAGTCAAGAAAAAGGCGACTTTTACCTCTGTCATTTCTGGAATCTACTGGCAGGTCAGCCTCGCTAATAGGTACCATATCATTATTGAACAAGCACTGAGCTGGAGTACAAAATATGGAAAGACAATGGCCAGGAGCAAAGGGAGACAGGAAATTCTTAGGGCCAAACCAACTTTAAAACCATGCTGATAACAAACATGCTGCTTGAGTGCAAGAGCAGATGTTAATGGCAGAAAGCATCTGGAAGGGACAAGCTGTCTTGAGATTTGTTCTATCCAATGTTATCAGTGTGACCTCCAAGAACAGGATTTTCACTTCCAGTAAGACTCCAGATGCTGAAAGGTACAGAGTGATGAGAGCTCAGAGGTATGGGAGAAGAGAACTGGGCAGACTGGTGTGTGATATTGTAAGTGGGAAGAAACTAGAGTCAATGATCAGCTGACCATAGAAATCGTATCTAGTACACAGTGGTCACATAGTATTCTCTCTTTCAGCTTCACCTGGTTTATTCGTACTGTTGTTCTGATTACTAAATAAATCACTCACTAGCCGGTGCAGACCAGCTGGGGTTTCCTTGTTGGTTGTAGGAATGAATTTTCCAACACTCGTAGCAAATTTTTCTAAGTAAAAAACACTTACTGATAAGGCTCTTCCAGCCCGTACAGCAAACCCTTCCTTTCACAGCAT